AGAGAGAGAGAGAGAGAGAGAGAGAGAGAGAGAGAGAGAGAGGAAATAGGTAGATTGATTTGTCTGGCTTACTCCTTAGTGTCTGATGCAGTTGGTCTTGGGGCGAGGTGTTGGGGTGTGGAGGTCCCAGGCACGTGTATTTTTTATACTCTCAGGTGATTTTCCTGAGTATCAAAGATTGAGAAGAACTCACCTACTATCAGCACATGATCTATTAGTCTATAGGGGGGAAAAATTTGAGGGGACAACAAATGATCACCCAGGGATGTCTCTGATGGACCCAGTTTTAGAGACTTAGAACACCAAGGAGAATGTGTCTTGGAGCTTCTCTTGAGTGAGAGGAGGGAGGACTACTAAGTGGAGGGGCATAAGCCCAGTCACAACCATAAAGAGAAGTGCCAGCTGACCTGCAGTCTCTGGCAATGGGGCTGGGCATTTGTACCCCTCTGAATATGCTTACTCATAGAGATATGGCCCTCATAGAGTGTTCTCATCTGACATTCAGAGCTTGATAAACATATGTACAGACCTATATGATCTAGATCTAAACATACAGGGTTTCCAGAAAGCCACTTTAATAATCAGCACATTTTCAAAGTGTCCCAGGTGTTTCTAACATACCATCCATCTTAAGAACCAATACATTAGAAAGATCCTGGTGATCATTCAATTCTAGCCCAGTGGTTTTCAAATTTGGCTGCACATTAGAATCATCTCACTTCAGGGAGGGGGTGTAAAAACCCAGAAGTACAAACTATACTCCAGACCAGTCTCTGAGAGTGGGAGGCAGACACTGGTGTTTTTGAAATTCCTCGCATGGTTGCAAAATGCAGCCAGAATTGAGAACCACTGCGCTGCTCTATGGCCTAGATTCTCAATTCTCAAAGTGGGGTCCAGGGACCAGCAGCACTGGCTTTTTATCAAGAGATTTGCTAGAAATACACAATCCAGGACCCCACCCCATACCTACTATATTATAATATGCAATTTAACAGATCCTCAGTGAGTGATAGACACAGGAATATTTGAGATGTACTTATCTAATCCACTTCCTAATTTCATGGAGATCTAATTTGTTTCCTCATTTTACCTAGAACTTTGAAGGTAAAAAAGCAGCTACTCTAGAACTTGAATACACAGCTAGTTAATGATATAGCCCTAGCAGACACTGGGATCACATTCTGCCTTCTTTTCTATGTCCTGCTTCTTCTTCCTAATACCTCCCTGAATGGGTAGACATTAGGGTATAGTAGGGCTGCCTCAAAAGAAGGATGATCTTCTGCTTTCATTCTGATGCTTCCAGAAATTCTATCCCCCAAATGGGTCTCAACCTTCCAGCTTAATAGGGGATGTCAAGCTTAATGAGGTATGTTCCTCTTCACATTTTATTGCCAAAAAAAAAAAAAATGCTATAAATTCTTAACCAAAGACTTTTAGCTATTCCTTGAGCTCAATGTTTTCATATACCCCAGAAATATAACCCACCCAGAGCAGACAAACTACACTTAACCTTCTATTCCATATAGGAAGCTTTCACATTTAAAAAAAAAATGCATGTCTTTTTTTTTCAATTACAATTTTTATCTGACCATAGAAAAAAATTAGAAAATGCTGAAAAGCAGGGGATGGTAAGAAGAAATAAAAAGTAAAAAAAAAAAAAAAATACTCATCCTGCCAGCAGACAAGTCGATCATGGGTAACCATTGTGAACATTTTCATTCATTTCTTTCCTATTTTTTTCTATGTCTATTTTTTATACCCCTGTGATCACATTATAGGCAACTGTCAGAGTCTTCTGCTATTTTGAAGCATCTATCTCCCAGTTTTCCTCCATTGAAGAGATAAATTTAAGGCAGTGAATCTCAACTTAGTTACAGATTAGTATCAATAGAAAGGCTTTCCATACCTAAGCCATGTCCCAGACCAATTATATTAGAATCTCTGAGGGGTGAATAAGAATCAGTATTTCTTTAAAACATTTTAATTTGAACAAATTTTAGCTCACAGAAATTCTTCAAAAACAGTAATAAGAATTCCATGTACCCTCAACAGCTTCTTCTAATATCTAGAATTAGACCAATATTTGTTTATTTTGTTTTGTTTTGAGACAGGGTTTCCCTATGTTACCTAGACTGGCCTTAATCTTGTGATCCTCCTACTTCAGTCTCCTGAATCCTATCAAAATTTAGTATCTATAATAAAGGAATCACCTCAAACCCCTGGAAAAAGATGGAATTTTTAATAAATGGTGCTTTTTAATAAATTTTGCTAAACATTTGAAAGAAGATAAAATTAGATCCATATCTCACACCACACACAAGAATAGATTCAATGAATCTAATGTGAAAAATGAAACCACACAAGTATATAAAAATAAAAGAGTAAATGCCTCTACCACCTTGATATAACAAAAGGCTTCCTAATCATGCCTCCAAATCTACAGGCAATATAAGAAAAGACTGATAAATTTAGTCACATAATTTTTTTTAAATTTCCAGGAAAAAAAACATGATAAACAAATTCAAAATAGACAATGGACAAGGCTGGGAATTCTCAGTGCTTGGCTAGCATGTGCAAGGCCCTGAGCTCAATCCCTAGCACATACCACAGATAAAGAACTAACACTCACAATATATAAAGTCCTCTTAAAACCTGATCAAATATCTATTAGAAAAAGTAAAAGAAGACATAAAAACATAATTCACAGAAAGATACAAAATGATCCCCAAATATATGAAAAAAAATGTCCAGACTCAGTCTTAATAAGAGAAATGTCAACTGAGGCAACACCAAAAAGACATTTCTCAACTATCAACCTGGCCATTTAATTTTTTTTTTTTTAGTTGTCGATGGACCTTTATTTTATTTTAGTTATATGTGGTGCTAAGAATTGAACCTAGGGCCTCACACATGCTAGGCAAGCACTCTACTACTGAGCCACAACCCCGGCCAGCTGGCAATTTTTTTGAATGACATGACATTTAGTTGGTGAGACTGTGCAGTGTCAGAATATTCGTAAGGCTCCTCAGGTAATTCTGATGCTCAGCCAAGATTACATATTATTGGTTTAAAGCAATGGTCTTAGTTGAAACTTCATAACAGAAAATGACATTTTCCCTAAAATTCAAAGCCTTTCTTCACTCCCCTATTTCCAGCAATCCTTAGCTAGCATGGAAATTAAATTACATGCCTATATTTTATTTTGAAAAAAAGCAAACAAAGTTTGCTACGTACCACTGCAGTTTTTCTAACTCTTCTGGTGAAGAGGGGCAAGGTGTCCTGATAGAACAGCAGCACTCTTCTGAAGGAGACAAAAAGAAAAGGAAAAAAAAAAAAATCATGGTCAAGAATGAAGTAATGTAGAAGTTCAGACTCATCAAATATATGGTTCTTATACTGCCTGCATTTTAAGTAGAGATTGTCTATAACTGGTGGTAAAATTAATCAAATGCCTTTATATTGGCAATTACATAATTATATAGTAGGTGCTCAAAAATGGTAATTGAGTGAATGCTTTTTTTTTTTCTTGTTTGGTTATATTCATGTAACATCAATCACTGTTCAACACCTAAGAGGAATCAGAAGTAAACATATCCTGGAGAACATAATGTTAATTGAAATAAGCCAGGCACAGAAAAACAATACCACACGATCTCACTCTGATGTGGAATCTAACTCATAGAAACAGAATGAAATGATGGTTACCAGACTGGGGAGATGTTGGTTAAAGGACACAAAATTTCAGTTAAAGTAATAAATTCTAGATATCTATCATAGGACATGGTGACTACCCTAAGTAACAATATATTGTATACTTGGAAATTGCTAAGATTTTAAATGTTCTCACCACACCAAAAAATGATAAAGTATGTGAGGTAATGCATATGTTAAATAGTTTGCTTTAGCCATTCCATAATGTATATCAAAACATCATACTGGACACCAAAAATATATACAATTTTTTGCTAATTTTGTTAATTCAAAAAAGAAGTAAACATATCCCAGTAGCAATCGAAACAATTCTCCCTCTCAATAGGGTTTGTTTTTATCAAGTTTTCTGATGGCATATTGAAATTTTATAAGAAAGCAGGAAAAATAACCTTCTTGAGCTTTCTAAAAATTGTTCAAGGACAAAAGAGTCAAACAGAAAGCTGAAACATATGCAAACTTATTAATTATATTTTTAATTATAAAAGCACACATTGAGAGTAATGAGTAAATGAACACAGCAATAGAGACAACTTACCCATTGGTCGAATATGTACTCTTTTCAAAGCAACCATTATAGCACACACATTCATCGTCTTATTCAGTTTTATTGTGAATGTACAATTTAATGTGCTGTAAAGAGAAATATATAACCAGAATGTTACTAAATTGGAAACCTACCTATGCACTGACAGTATTAACTTGCAGTGTCACCCAATAACCTTCTAAATATTCATCTACAATGCTCTGAACTTTAATAAGACATTTATAGAGATTCACATTCATAGATGTTGCAAACAGATGCTGTGTTGTTTGTTTTGCCTGTCTGTACAATGAACCGACTGGGGTGAGACTTGGTTGCAAAGGTAAGCACCTTGACATCTTTAGTCTCCCACTGCCACAGCTGGCTACTTGCTTGGTGTCTACAGATATTTGAGTTTCCATCATGGGAACCCTTTCACAAACCAGTCTAGATGAATGTCAAGGTCTGTTAAATCCCAAATCTCTCTGGCAATCTAGATTATCAGATAACTAAGAAGTTAAGACATTCTCCCTGTTTCTTTCTACTTTAGCCTTGGTGTAGGTGGAAAAAAAATTAATGCTGCAAAAAATGACGAGGCAAGGGAACTGAATTAAAACATATAGAGGACAGAGAGTCAACTTATAATTACATGGAAGACTTGTCATGATTTGTACCAATGAACAGTTTGATGAGTGGAAATTATCATTTTCTAGGACTTAGACTCTCATGGAATATTCATGGTTCTCATGGTGAGATTATTGCTGTATAAGCCATTGGCGAATGCAGGCTTACACAGGACAACCATTGGATGCAATTTAAAAGGGTTACTTATCTGTGCAACCCCAATAATTGTTGGACAATTTCTGACTTTCTCTTGTATACATTTTAATTTCTACTTTTCTCTTTTCTTCCTCCAATCTTTTCCTTCCCCCTTTCTTCTCATTCTGAGTTCCATATTGTGTTTCCTCTTTTCTGTCTGAATTTCACCATGCCTGGACCACTATGAGCCATTTTTTGGTCATATTGGTAGCCCTCAGAGATAAGAACATCGATGAGCCTCAGCCTCATAGAATCAGAGGCAAATGGTCTGATATCAGACACCTCTCCCTCAGTGTTTTAATAAATTAAAAGATAGAGTGATGAAATGATCAGTGTTAGGAAAAATAAAACTATATAAATCCAAAATGTCACTAATAACTATGTATTTATGTTAGAGGAAAGCCTATGAATTTACAACTTAATGAAGACTCCTTAATACTTTATTTCTCCCAAATGGAGAAATAATAAATATTTATTAAAGAATTTAAGATGACTGACCTTTGGGCCTCTGCTGTAGCACACACTATAAAATAAGTCTGAAATAAACAAAATTATATGTTATTTTGACAGCTGGAAAAGACGACCCAGGGTGAATCACAGAATTTTAGAGCTACGAGTATCCCTAGAGATCACCCCTTTTACACTCCTGCTAGATAAAAATTATTCAGGTCATACAAGTTCTACTTGAATTCCTCCGGCACCAGAAAGCTCAGTAGTACACGAGGGGAGCACATTCTCCTGGAATTTTCATTTTAAGAAATGTTTGGTCTTACAGGAAGGAAAATCTATCTCCTTCATATCCACCCACTGCTCCTAGTTCTGACTTTTGGATGCTAGTCCATTCGCTCTTTTACATGACATATTTGGGAGAATTTGAATACATATCTCCCAGGGAATACAAAACTCCATGGTTCCCCCCAAATAATAGCAATGCTTACAAACAAGGTACAGGGTATACTGTGATTACCTCACTTAAGGTTTGTAGGGTTTTGTTGAGCTCTGATCGTCTGTTAATAAAATCAGAGAAGTTGACATTAAGGCGACCATTAGTGATGTGAAATTCAAAACAAGTTAGATTTTTAGCATTTAAATCAAGCATGTGGTATTTATTGCTCACAGTGTTCACTTTGAAGAAACACGGGGCATAATGAGAGATTGCTATGTGGGAAAAATAAATTATTTATATGGCAGGGGAAACTAACCAGACAGGAGCTGTACTGGTTCTAGCTAAGAGCAAGATATAAATTATGGTGGAACAATCTTGTTATTCATTAAGCTAGTGCAACTGCGCCCTCGCCCCCCAGCTTCTTCTGGCAGAGGGCCAGAGGAAGAGCTGGCCCCAGGCAAGCATTTCTGAGAAGGGCAAGCCACTTACCCTGTACCTCTGATTAATTCCTTATTCCTCTCCAACTCAAACAGCCTGCCCTCTCTAGCACTCTCCAGCCCTGCCTTCCCCTCCTCACAACTCCCCTTCAGGAATTTCTCTCAATCCTCTCTGTTTTCCAACAATATTTTCTTTTCTTCAACATGGCAGAGTTTCACTGAAGTTAGGATGAAAGAAATCTAATTAAAGAATTCACCCTAAGGCAAGGATTTTCAATGGGGATGGGAGGACATTTGGCAATGTCTGGAGACATTTTGGGTTGCTGCACTGGGAAGGTGCTACTCCATGGATACTGTTAAATGTCCTATAATGCATAAGACAGGCCCCCAAAACAAAGAATCCCCAAGCTTAACAGTGCCGGTGCCAATGCCAATACTGCTGAGGGGGAGAAACCTGCTCAGAGGAATGGGCAATAGTTCTAGATAGCTCCAGGCAAGGTCTGAAAGGAAGAAGAGAAGGACCAATGAAATAGTCAGCTAGCTCCTCAAGCCGGCAGGAGCCACTCCTCTGACTGTGCTCAGAGATCACCTCCTTCCTGGGAGTTTCCATCGGCCCTCCAGCACACACCTAACTGCTCCTCCTGCTCTACTGTCTGATCCTTGGGATGTCTTTTGGTATTCTGTATATGCCCCCTTTCAGGAAGTTGTGTCTCTCTGTGACAGAGTAAGACTATTTATGTCCTAGGCCATCTTGTTGGCTGACATTTTCAAACTCTGCTCTAACTGGGGGCAGCTATTTATAATACATTTCTCATTGTTCTTGTCCTTGTAAGCCGAGGTCTACTTAACAAAAATCTCTCTCTGACTTTTGAATCACTGAGGCTTCATGAAAAACATAAACAAACGGTATACATGGAGTCCTATCTGGAACCCTTTGAATCATGCTGGATACCAAATCACATTAAAATGCAAATAACAACTCAAATGAAATTGTTGTGTAATTTCACAGCATCAGAGAGAACAACCCCATGGGGATTATAGTTGATGATAGCTGACTTTGGTTAGTTTGGTTGGTAAGCAAGAACAAATTAGCTCTATATCCTTTGGATCTGTCTCTTCCCATTCTTGGTTTCCAAAGCAAAAACAGCTCATCAAGTATCTTTCCACAGTTGATGTTTGAAATTTTCAATCAAACAGTAGAGTACTCACTTCAATTCACTTAGAGACAGCACTCCAGAGTAGGTGCCATTAGTTATATCTTGATTCTGTTGGAAGCAAAAAATTAAGAATAAAATGAATATCATTTATTTTGTTTTTGTTTGTTATATACTCTAACAAGAAGTTGTTTTGCACTTTTGTTAGACACTCAAAGAATTACACCCCAAAGACTGAATCCTAATCCATGGAATATCGTCCACCAGATGATCAAATTGCTGTTACATAGATTCAACTAATTTGTGTGTGTGTGTGTGTGTGTGTGTGTGTGTGTGTTGGTGGGGATTAGAATGCAGGGCCTTGTGCATGCAAGGCAAGATCTCTACCAATGAGCTATATCCCTAGCTCCCTAATTGCTGTTACATAGAAAGGGTGGAGGGAGTGGTACTCAAAAGTTAATCAATATTAACTGGCTAAGCCAGTTTTTGGTTTATGTTTTCTTAAAGGAAATCCTGAGTCAGCAGCTCTTATGTGCTATTTTCTGTCTTTTCAATTCAAGGGTTCCCTCAAAAGAACACTAGTAAAGCTCTCTTCGTGACAGCCCCAGATTTAAGTAACAAGACCCCAATGTATAAAGGGAAACTCGATAGCAGCCACTGCTGCATTTTTAGCACCTAGTTCATGGCCTAGCACATAGTTGGTACCCAGGGAATATTCACCAAATGAATAACATGTTTGTCTGGGATTCTCTGAACCAATGTAGGTTATGGGAAGGTTGATACCATTGAAACTGAATTCCCCATATGGGGAATACAATTAGATATGGAAGATTATTCCTAGACTCAATATAGATATTTCTTGTTGCTAGGAGGTTTTAAGATAATTTTAAATTTTAAACTGGTAATAAAATTGCATCATATTAACATTCTTATTTAGCAACAAACCTAGTGAAAACTAAACTATAATTATTAAAAAGATATTATGATTATTGATTCAAGTCCTTACCATAAAGCTAGGGATTCAATCATACATATTTTACTTAAACTTGGCATGAAAGTAAATATGCAAATAGGATAAATAATCTGAACCTTCAACAAATCTTAAAATACATGCAAATTCACATTTTAAGAGTACAATAAGAAAAAAACTTTAAAACCTACCTGGGTAATGTTGTGTTCTTCATCATATTGAAATATTATCTCACCTCTAAAAAACACTAAAAATAAATTTTCAAAAAGAAAATTGAGACTTGTATCCTTACAATTTGAGGATTAATACAACACATGAAAAGATTAGCAAATTACTTTATAAACAATTTTGGTTTTACTTCCATTTACTCTCTTGCCTATCAGTAAGCTACTCAATGATAGTCAACATAATTTTTAGAAAATATGAACTATAAATTCTATGTGGGAATTCAGAAAGAGAGGAACTTGTCTCCTTATGAAGAAATTTATGTCCCAATCTGCTTTTTTTTTTTTTTTTAACTTTGTTTCCTTTAAAGGTAAGTGGGAGAACAAGGTATGGTGGCTATAATCCCAGTGACTCTGGAGACAGAGGCAGGAGAATCACAAATTTGAGGCCACCCTAGACAACTTAGTGAGACTATGTCCCAAAATACAATAAAAAGGGGTATACATCAGTAGTTTAGCACTTGCCTAGCACGCGTGAGGCCCTGAGTTTAATCCCTAATACTGAAAAAAAATAAATAAAAAACAAAAAGGAAAAAAAAACACAAAATCTAGGGGAACTGTGACTTTGATGTTAACTTAAAACAAAAATGTCTTTTAAAGTTATAGTTACAGTTACATAAAGGAGGGAGGGGGAAAGGAGCAGCTAAGCAGCTTTATGGAAATCTACTTATTGTTCATCAGTTTTTCAATTTAGTTTTTGTTTTTAAAATACAACTATCAAATGCAATATCTTTCCCAGAAACAACTGAGATTTTGCTTTGAAACCTGAATAGTGTGCAGGAAAATTCTTCCTTCAGTTGAACAACTCATTTTTGCTTTCTCTTCAGATTTGCCAGAAAACCTTGTTCTTAAAATGCTGACTTTGGGAAATATTAAATTCAATTTCAGTCAACCTATTTCCTGTAGGGTACACCTAGGGGGCTCTATCTGGAAATAAATAAAATGGAGACTCTTAAATAGAAAAGTATGCACTTCATCACAGGAACCCAAACCTGGCCGTTTGAGCAATGGGGCAAGGATGTCATATACACCAAAGTAGAGTTTGGCCAATGTTTTTGGGGACAGATCTTAGTAAATACTTGAGGTTTTATGTTCTCTGTTGTAATTCTGCCACTGAGCATGAAAGCAACCACAAAAAATATGTAAATAGATGGGCATGGATGTAGGCCAATAAAACTTGATCTACAAAAACAGGTGGCTGGCCATATTTGGACTCTAGGCAGTAGTTTGCCAACCCCTGAGTCAGAGTTGAATGCCTCCTTAACTCATCCTCTTTTATTGCACCCAAGGTACTACAACTGATTCCCATGGCCATGTATCCTATGGTCTACTTCCACTTAAAAATGGCTGACGAAGCCACATAAGCAGTGATTAATGTGACCTATTTCTACTGAGAACTTCAATTTTTGAATATTGATACTGAAATTTCAACTAATGCAGTATATAATTATTAAAAGTAAATATATTTGATATCTGCATAGAATTACTTATCCATTTAAAAAAATTTAAAAACTTTTAGCTTTTAAAAGCATATTTAGATTCTGTATGTCTGTGAACACTGAAATCCACAATTTCTCTCCCTCACATTCTTGAGTGCATGGTGAATTTCATAAATGTGCTGGGAGCACAGTAGTTCTGGTTTGCACAGGGCAACCAAGAAGCCATCACCTTTGACCCTTAGTCTGACTCTTCCTGGTCATTTCTCAGCTTCTTCACCAGCCTCCACTTCCTTTAATGGACCTACATTGGGAACCTGCAAAAAGCAAAGGTTTCTAGTTTCTGGCAGGATATCATGGTATTTCTGGTGCCAGAAGAGTTGGTTCTCTGATGAGGTTGTTTTCACCAGACACTAAAACAAATGGTCAATTCAGTCACTTAACTGGGGAAAACATTACACCAACCAGCTTTCTGGCATCTGTTATTCAAGATGACCAGGTTTTTCTTTTTTGACTACAAGTTCAATTTTCAAACAGTTATCAAATATGTAGACACAACACGGAACTAGACATTAGTCACCAGCCTAAAACATGGATGAGGCACAAAAATAATGACTTTATGGGGAATTCAGTAAAGAGAAGAGTAAAAAAGGAGGGAGAAAAGGAGGAAGAAAAGAGAAGCAATATGTGTGTGTGTATACATACATATAATTATTTATTATATAATGTATCCTATAATTCATTCCTTTCATCAAAATCACCTAATATTTCCTTTTTATATTCCACCCAGAGCATAATATCAGCAGATAGCTCAGATGAGCAAATCTCATATTCCCACAATAGAAGTGTTTCTACTTTTTCACATTCTCTAATTTATCCAACCTTAAGTTATTTTACTTGAAATTGTTACCTATGTTTTTCAAACAAATTCTAAAACTATTAAAAGGAACAAAATAAAAGGGGGAAAAACCTATGATTGTTTATTACTGGAGACATACCAAGATTTTAATATCATAAAATACCTTGCTACCATTTTCTTCTCTCTTCCCATGATCTCCTAACCCTTTCTGACATGCCACATCATATTTTTCTGTTTTTCACATTTGCTTTCATTGGTTTTCATAAGGTGGGGAACCCAAAGAGCCAAATCAATGTGAGAAAAGTGGTTATTTCATTCCTCTGGCCTATGGCAGAAAGAAAAATATTCCTATTTTAAAAATAGCTTGTTCTCAAGAGATTTCTACTTTAACTTTAAAAAATAGTGGACAGCCTTGGTTAGAGATGGCAAAACACAATATGGACACAACTGGAATTAGCATTTAGTTGAATTAGTTGTACATGAGGTTTCAACATTCTAGCAGTCGGGTTTGTTTTATTCTTAGCAAAGGACTACATCCTGTTTCTAAGCTATATTTTTTAAGGTCCTACAGGAAAGCTTGAGGGATTTATATACAAAAAGTGACTTTCAATAATTAGTAATAACCTCATTATTATTCATGAATTAACACTAAGAGTATTAGTTATGAATTTAAAGCTACAGTGAAAAATATTTGCACTTTATGTCTCATATTAAGGAAGTTAATTCATCCTTTCACTAAACAATGGGAAGATAATTTCAGCCAGATCTAAAATTCACTTTTGTTTTATTAGGGACTTTTGGTAGCCAGGTGGTATAAAAACAGACAGGTCAGAGAGGCTCACACATACACAACAGGAAAAAACAAATCAAATCATTTTTCTCTATGGAACAAATTTATCTGGTAATGTATAATGTACACAAGAACTAACCTGAATCATTGCAAATAGATGACAAATTGCAGATATTTCTCTGGGATTTGACTCCTGCAAAAAAACAACAACAACCTAGCTGGTTAAGCACATCAACACCTGCAATTATATACTACATTGTCAAGAATATTCACAAACGTAGGCAAATGTGGACCAAAAATATTAAGAAACTGGATAAAACTGGCTGGATGAATTTCACAGAGACTAAAGGAATGAGAGTCTTCATTTAGTTGGTCAGCTATGGAACTTGACTCTTTACTATTCTATAGTATGTCAGTGTCTGACCTTCAACTCCTTCCTAAAATTTCTTTGTTTCACTCACAATTAGCCTTTTGCCTGTCCAATATAAAACAGAGCACCAGGTAACAAATCAAATATAGAGAACTTAAATGGAATAGGCCTCAAAGATCGTCTTTCCCTTCCTGGATTGGAGAGTCCCCAAATACTCTAATGTTAGTCCTAGCTCTCTTTGCAAATGTATGTATGAAATAACATTAATGTCATGATATTGTTTCATGAGCAAAAACTACAAAATTCAAAATGTATTTGCTGTGCACCTACCATATTCTACAGGTTTTGGGAGGTTCAGATATAGACCCTGCCCTCAAGGAGCTTACAATCTAGAGGTCGATACTGGCCAGTATATAAAAAGTTTTAGTGCTAATCAGGACTTCAGATCACATGAGCATACCAAGGAGGCAGAATGGGAGAAGAATGGGAGAAGAAATGAACCATGTTAGAACAAAAACTCCAAACAGATGTATCTGAGAAACACTTTCTCCTTTAGTGAAAGGAGAAGTACATCTCTTTGTTTGAAAAGAGCTCAAGATTTACTTCTCTAAGAGTCTTTCCTTCACTAATTGCATCCTTTTGGTGAAGCATAAGAGATCCATAGTAAATGGGAGGGGCAAATGCTAACAATGTACTAAGCAAATTGCCAAGGGGAAAAGAGGGTTATATTAAGGAATCTTTCAGTCTCTTTGTTAGGTTCTGTATGGTCAGAATTATGTATGCAATGCCAATTGCTAGTTAATTTTCATTACATGTTTGTCCTATGAAAAAACTATAAAACTTATTATTTGAAATAGAAATAGAAAACTATTAAAACGATAATTTGACTTAGTGCAAGTGATATGGTTTCGGTCAGAATGATTTATTGGTGTACGGGCATCATGCTTCAGCTAAGAGTTTTGATTCTGTGAACAAACTGAATTTAGGTGCCCAAAGTTAGATAAAGATTTCTATATTCTTCCATAGCAATGTTACCTACACCAGGAGAGGAAGATTTCACTTTAAATATAGTTACTTATAGCTCACTATAACATACATACAATGCAAATGTTATAGAATATATAGATGGTGGGTAGTAATGCTTTCTTTAAAGCATTGATCCATTCTTGCTATACTTTTCATTCTACCATCTCTACCTGCATCTCCATTTCCAGTGATGTGGGTCTTTTTGTTGCTCTTTCATACCGAGAATTTTCTTTCCTGTTTCTAGGCCCATTATCTGCACTACAGCTACTTACTGGTCACTCCTTAAATCCTGAATGAGAAAACTGTCTGAAAAGGGTCAGATACTAAATATTTTAGGCTTTGTGGGTTATATGTTTTCTGTTGCAACTACTCAGCTCTACCATTCTATATAGCAGAAAAGTAGCCATAGAAAATATATAAACGAATGGACATGGCAGTGTTCCAATAACATATTTTACAAAAACAGGCAATGAACCAGATTTGGCCCATTGGCAATAGTTTGCCAACCCCTGTCTGAAGTCAATCAGAGGGCTTTGTTAAACTGAGCACAGTGGTGCATGCCTGTAATCCCAGCTACTCTGATGGCTAGAATCAGGAGGAAGGCGAGTTTGAGGCCTTTTTAGCCTAGAGAACTTAGCAAGTCCCTGTATTAAAAAAAAAAAAAAAAAAAAAGAAAGAAAGAAAGAGAAAAGAAAAGTCTTTGTTAAGTATATCTTGTATGCCTAGTCTTGTATTAGGTACTTAAAAGTATAACCTTGCTTTGCTTTAGAAAGAATTTGAGGTTCACTCCTCTCTTTCATTAATTGCATCCTGTTCATAAACTCATTACCATTAGTCCTACCTCCTATGTCTCTTAACCATGAGAAATGCTTGTGGGGTTGTGGGTGTAGTTCAGTGGTAGAGTACATGCTTAGCATGCAAGAAGCCCTGGGTTTGATCTCCAACACCAAGGGGAAAAAAGAGAGTGAGAAAGAGAAATCCTGGTGGAATCATTGCCTTTATCTGCATGCATGTTCACATTTGTGACCTGCTTCTTTGACCAGTCTCCCTCTTGACTAGAAGATTCTTGAGAGAGGGCACTGTGCCTGATCATTATTATACAGCCCTTAATGTCTAGTACAACTTCAGATACTCAGTACATACACATCTATTCATTAAGAACAGATTTTACTTTAAAAAAAAAAAAGAGAAAGAGATCATAAACACCAGCCATTTGTTTAATTTTACCTTAGTTATAAAGAAGAAAGTCTTGATATTTATAATAAGTCATACCTGATGCATTGAAGGTTTTTACTATAGTGATTTTAGTTTTTTCTGCAAAGAAGCAATTTAAATATTAGAGCACAATTGTTGCTTGTTTTTAAAAAACACTTTGCCATGAATATCATTTTTTAGTGAAGTGCAAAGAAAAATCACACCGTTGACATCTTTTTAAGACATGATTGGTCATCTCAGCAGTGGAATGGATGGGACCTGCACAGAAATTGTAGCATTGGCATGGGGTGGGCCTGGGAGTTGGATTCCCATGTTTACCCAGTTAGATCACACCCATTACACACACCACTGCTTGTGTAATTCTACTCCAGTTTCCAGGCACTGCTGCTAGACCAACAAATGTGAATTTCAGATACGTGGAATTAAGTCACTCTCAGGACCTCTGGGTGATAGGTTGTAAAGGGTAGGTGATTCAGAGTCGAAATTAATGTGAGTCAATACACAAAGGATCTAAAATTCTGCTACTGCAGTCTACAGTCAAGCATCCTGCTGTTTGCTTTAACAGTTGTCCCTATTGTACGGATAGATAAAACTATTTTGAGAGAGGTCAAAACCATCCAACTATAGTCATACAACAAGCCCACAGCAGAACCAGAACTGTTTAAAGTTCGGAACTCACAGGCAAATATTAACATGTTCTAAAGAAGCAAACCTTAAAAATATCATTACATTACAGTTGGGAGACAAAGCCCATGGTTCATTTGCCAGATAATGGAGAACCAGGTTCAGCAATCCATGCCATCAGGATGGCCAACTATAAGAGGCTGTGTTCAGGGCACAGATTTGCAAAGTTCTGTCTCCTAGGGCAGATGGGGAAATTCTGAATAAAAGAATAAGCTTGAAGCTTGGAGATAACACTTATGAATGATGATGTTATATTGACAACTTCAAAAACCTCATTTGTGTGTGTGTGTGTGTGTGTGTGTGCTATTGATGAGTTCATTTCACTGTGTGACTCATGGGCAATGGTTGGTAGTAATTACAGAGACTGCATTATCATTAATAATCCTTTAAATATATTGTTTTGTTTGCCCTGATATTCAACCTCACTAATAATCAAGAATGAAAAATAATCTGGGTGCAATGGTGTACTGTAATCCCAGCAGCTTGGGAGACTGAGGCAGGAGGATGAAGAGATAAAAGCCAACCTCTGCAATTTAGGGAGGCCCTAGGCAACTCAGTGAGATCCTGTGTCTAGACAAAATACAAAATAGGGCTGGGGATATGGTTCAGTGAGTAAGTGCGCTCTAGGTTCAATCCCCTGCTACCAAAAAAGAAAGAAAGAAAAGAAAAGAAAACCTAAGTAATTGAGAGAAAAATTAATAATATACTATAATCCTAACAAAGGTACAGTGACATAGATAACCTCATCCACTGCTGCAAGGAATGTTGCTGGGCACAACCCTTCTGGAAGGTAATTGGACAGTGGGTGTCAAGGGCCTTAAAATATTCATACGTTATGTCCAATCCTTGGAATGTATCCTACAGAAATCAAGGATGAATGAAAAGTATTGGCACCAGGATGTTCACTGGAATAACCTCTATTAAAAAAATAGAAACAACTTTAGTGTTCAACATATGGTATACAATGGAATGTTATCAAGTCATTAAAAGCAAGAGATATTGGCAAATACTTATAATTTAATATTAGGTCAGAAGAGCAAGATATAAAAATCTACATAAACTATGACTACTTTGCAAGGGACATATACATAAGATATATGCATATAAATACATGCATATATTATACTAAATGAAAATATACCAAATTTTAACAGTAAGTCTTAGAAAAGTAACATTAAAGATGATTTCTATCCTCCTTCTTTGTATTTCTCTATATTTTCCATTTTTATGAGCTACCATGTATCACTATGATAATAAATGTTATTTAAATGAAGTGCTACTGCCATAATAGTTCATAAGTTTGAGAGTGGTGACAACAGAATTATAGTTCAATGTCAAAGTCAAAGGAATAATAATAGTTGAAAGTTCAAGAAAGTTAGCAAAGGAAAACTACTCTTTACTAACCCCGTAGACCACACAAGTGAAAAACTTAAGAAGTCATAGAAGAAAAGCTATGACATTTAGAAATAACTTGATATTACCTGTCTTGTTTAATGTAGACAATACACTGGAAGTAGCATCTGAAACAAAATAATAAAAATTAGTGTAACTACTGGCATGGTTAACAAACATGACTCTTCTAACATTCCTTAAATATTTTACTTTTCCTAAAATCTAGAAGTTAGTTTTGCAAAAGTATGCATTTGCCGCCCATCCCCTTACTACTATCCATTCTCCTACTCCTGAAGATTAATTGAACAAATGTTTGTTCTTTCAAAATGCGTTTCCTGAATGCCAGTTACATACCTAACACATAACAACACTCCCATAATTATTAGATTTAAATAAACTCATTTATGTTGTTTAGTTTTTGTCCTTTACAATAATGAAATTCCCTAAGGGATATGAAATTTCTAATGTTGATATCAACTTTAGTAGATAGTGGTGGGGAGGCTGAATGTTTCTTCCGGTGGTATAGTCTTTTAAAGTAATTTTAACTAAGTCTAATTTAAATTTGAAGTTCTTTTTTATATATACCTTTATTTCACTTATTTATTTTTAATGCGGTGCTGAGGATCGAACCCAGTGTCTTATACATGCTAGGCAAGCACTCTACCGCTAAGCCACAATGCCAGCCCCTAAATTTGGAGTTCTTAAACAGTGCATTCAACTAACTTTTAGGAAAAACCTCTTTTGATAGTGTTTGATCTAAAATCCAACTTTGAATCTATTCTATTGTTATTTCTTTAAATGAAAAGCATTCAAGAATTTATTATTCTGGATGAATTTTTTAAGGAAAAAAAAGGTATTACATTATCACACTTAACACACACACACACACACACACACACACACACACACACACAGATCCAAACACTGCTACAAAGCTAAATTGAAGATGTTCTTTTCACTGTAAAAAGTAATTACACATAAAAATTATAACCTTTGGCTCTTCCCATTGGGCCAAATATGAATTTAAACCAGTTTTTGATCAGTATAAGCTGCAACTATGATTAGCTCCTTAACCACCAACCACATGGTGAGATTTTATTTTAACTAAGCGATTCTGAAAAGTGTTGGGGTTTGACCGCAGTAAGATGGAAGGCTATCTACCCACAAAGAGGATGGAACAGAATGTGCCGCCCGGCCTGCCTCCCTTGAATACAGCACAAAGCTCTGTCCTTTTCTCTAGCACAGTGAGGAAGCCAGTTTTTCCCCCATTTCATACTCTTTAAAAATCGATCAAATCATCTGTAAAAAGGCTATCTTTGAACACTCTGTGCCTTCAAATCCATGCTGAATCATATTGAAGTCACTAGATGTGCTTTTCACATTTAAACATCTGTCATGCAAAACCTTATGGCATTGTGTTGCAGAGCAAGTGAAATGGAGTACTCAAAATTTCTTTTCTAGAGCCATTAAGAGTGGTGGAGGGCTTCCTCTGTGATCATAATAATTTTATCATTTAACCAGAAAGTTTAGGTCACTCTTAAGGGTTGACAGGTTTGGGGGTTTTTGAAATTATTTAATGTATTCAGAAATAATTTAGAGATGGAAATCTGCCACACTGTTCATTATATTTATATACATATTAACAGTTATCAGTTTTCACTTGCTCCAGAAAAATTCTTACTATTGAGGCTTGTAGTTTCAGCCACTTTTTGTTATAAGGAGAAAAACAATACAAGGTATCATTAAAACAAAAATTTAACGAATTGGGCTAAATGTATGTTTAAATTTTTTCAAAGTCTTGCCTGGAGTACCATTGGAGTAGGGGACAAAACTGACAAGAGATGATTCAGCTGCAGGAGAGAAAAAGAAAATTTTAAAATAAATACTTTGAAACAGTTATGTATTAGAACTTCTGAGGTATAACTATAAAAAGAAAACATGCTCTGAGACCCATGATCACAAAGCCTGCTACTACCTATGGAATATCATGGAAATAATCTTAGGAAACACACCAAAATAAAGGAAATATTACATTCAAAATTTTCAACCAAGAGAATTCTAGAAAACATTTAAAATAATGTGTTGAACTACAATCATGAAATATATTCACATATTGGCTTACAACGGTGCTTGGCAACTCATCCCACAGTGAATTTAGGATTATAAAGACAAATTGATACTACTCAATATTGTACTACCTAACATAATTTCCCAGTAAGCTATTTTAAAATATGGCTGCTATTAATACAATCAATTGAGTAATAAATTTCCTGTGGATTGACTCTATTTAGGTTAAGAGGTCAATCTATTACACGCATCTTACATGTTTAAATATTAAAAAGATCTAGTGGCTTGACCTCTACCTAAACATGGGGAAAACAAACACAAACATTTTACAACTAAATCAAGTTTTTAATTTATCTGTAATTTATTTGCCTCCCTATTCTAGCAAGTGCTAAGCTTTGGGAAGCCTTTTGAAGCCTGATTTTTCAGCTGGTATGGACAAACTTTGGGTGTGTCAAGATAGTTGGCTGGCCTGTCTGTTTTAGACTGCTCATGGGTTGGCTGAAACACACACACCCTGTCTGTCCCACATTATTGCTTCCATATTTTGTCATTTGATACATTTATTTTTTTTTTAAGTTGGCAAGGATATTTCATGAGGAGTAAGACAGTTCATGAGGGATAAAAATCAAAGTGCAGGTATGGACTCCTTTGCTATTGGGGCAGAACAAAATAATTGGTCAGAGCTGGTTTTTAATTAATGACTATTCATTCTTCCAAATGTTAATGAATGATGATATCACACAAAGAGGCTTATGGGCACAGCTGTCTTTGCCCTTCAATGCTACACTGGCTCTTCCCCAGGGCACTCAGAACCTAGGCTGTGACTAGTGCCAGTGTGTACTCGCAAAGCCCTGTTCCTCTTCTCTGCAAACAAGATTTTGCAGATATCATCATAATCAAGTTCGCTGAAAGTTATTCTACTAAAAGAAAAATACACTGGCCTACTCTACCCTGGAATCTTAATAACCAGGGGACAAATTGGCATGGTAAAAAGGGCTTGGGCTTTGGTGGCATGCAGTCCAGGTACAGATCTTTGCCCCGTAACTTAGTAACTCATACTAATGATAGTTAATTTAGTAAGGGCTTACTCTGTGCCAGGCTCATGTATCCTTTCATTTTCACAAATACCCTATGAAGCAGGTACTGTTCTTCTAATTAATAGAGGAGGAAACTGAGGCATAGAAGGGTGAAGGAACTTGCCCCAAATCAGAGCTGGCAATGGGGGTGGGAGGGTGGTAGCCAAATTCAAACTCTAATAGTCTGGTTCCAGAGAATGTATGAACATGAGCAAGTTTTCCCTGCTGAGCCTCATCTGTAACATGCATATAATGATTCCTATCCTGCAACACTGAGAGGAATGGAAAGATGTTTGAAGACTTCTAGGCACGTAGTATGTGCACAAGAAACAATTGTCATTATTATTAATTCCATTTAAATGAATAACAGTAGAAGCTCATTTTCACACAACTAAGGATAAAATGTGAGTTGGCTCATCTCTTATCATGAGAGATCATTCTAGTCTATATGGTACAGCAGGAAGAAATCAGAGAAGCCATGTGCTGCCTCTGTATGATGTGGAGCAAGAAGCTGTGAGGTCTTCAACAAGTTACTGAGGTGCTATGGGCTTCATTCTCTCATCAGCTAAGGACTAGAGCTGGGCTACTGTATCCCTAAGGTTCCATTGCAGCTATCAATCTGGAAATAGGATCCTGTTCCTAGTTCCTGCCAATATGGGTTCTAGTTATTAATTTATCTATAATTTATTTGCCTCCCTATTCTAGCAAGTGCTAAGCTTTCGGAAGCCTTTTGAGAAATACTCAATGAGGGTACTGAGGAAGCATGTTTAAGAGAATATCTCATCATGCAAATATAAAAACATTTGGCATGTTTAAGTTCTTGATACTCTTCAGAAAATTCGTGAACTAGGATACCAAAAAGAACTGAAGAACTTAAGCAGCTACCATGATGTAAACCCACAATTTATTTGCCAGTGTTGTACTTCCCAGCTTTGTTTGACAATACAGAAGAATCAATATGGCTGTCTTCTTGTCTATGTTTGCTATTGATTTTCCAGGTGTAGGTTTAATGACATAACTTAATTAAGCTACTTGCAGAAAAACAGTTTTGCTATAACTGACTACATGCCATACTGTGTGGAGAACTTTTGGGATAATATTTTCCTGAAATTCCCCAAAGTCATAAATTAACAGTCTTACCAGATGGTGATAACAAACTGGAATTATCAGCATTTTCTGTCAAGGAAAAAGGTGATTTAAAATTAGTTTACTTTATGCACAAATTTGTAGGAGATGAACATCTTTAGTGGCAATGAATCTGAGTTGTAAATAGCTACCAAAAGAGGGCAGTATGTTAATTTACTATTATTCTTGACATTGATCAGTCCTTTTGAATTCTCTCCAAAGACATCTCTTAGAAATGATGACTAAAAACTTCAGCTACTGCCTAATATTCATTAAAACGTGTAGAAGTAAATGTGTACATCTGCATAAATTAAACTTCCATGAACTGTGTTTCTTTTTAGCACAGATATTAGCTATGCTTATTCTGCCACCTCTTGTATATAATTTCAATCTGATCAGACACCTCTCAGTGTACAAACTACAAGAGCTATTTAATTATTAATTTGGAGAAAATGCTCATGTTCCTTAAAAGTAATTCTCTTTTTTTCTCTATGTAAAATAATACAATCTTACTGGAGAAACTTCAGAAATGACAGAAAAACAAAAAACAAAAAAGAAAAGAAAAGCCACCTATAATTTTGCCACCAGAAATAAATGACATTAATATTTTAGTATATATTATTTTCCATGTGTATATCTACATATATATATTAATGTATATTCACATACATATATATATATATTTATTTGTATAATAAGAAGGATCATATTACACAAAACTATTTATTGTTTTATATCATTAAACAAATTTCCAAATTTGTGATAAATGCATAGCATTTCAATGATTGGATGTACCATTTATCTATGACAAATTTCCTTTTTAATGAGCATTTTGATGTGGACGACTTTTCATTACAAATAATGCTGGATTTTTGGATACACACATGGCTCATTCTTTCAGAAATTCATGAATTTTGGTTGTCAAAATGCCCTATAGAAAACTTAAATTAGTTTACAGTACCCTTTGCTATACACAACAGTGTTATTTCCCCAAACCTTCCCTCACGTGAGGTGCCATAAGTTGTTAAAAAAATTAATTATAAAAGAATTGTTATTTTCTTTGTGGTATTCTGACATACAATTAATAGGAAAGAATAAGTATGTTTGGAAACTAAAGTTGCATAATGAAATATACCTACTATCATATGGGAGCCTATTTTCCTGAAATGATGGCAGGGTACTTATTATTTTCAGGGATAATCAAAATCATAATTGTGCTTTCAAACAGGATTGAATGATGCTTAATTCCCCACTTCCCCTGCAGCCAATAAGGCAAATATGGGCAGAGTGGTTAGTTGTCTTAGTACCCTAATGTAATTAGAATGACCTCCTCCTTAATCTCTGTTCTTTTTTTTTTTCAATTGATTTTTTTATTGGTTCTCAAAACATTACAATGATCTTGACATATCATATATCATACATTTGATTCAAATGGGGTATGAATTCTTATTTTTACCACGTGTACAGATTGCAGGATCACATTGGTTATACATCCGCGTTTATACATACTGCCATACTAGTGTCTGTTGTATTCTGCTGCCTTTCCTATCCCTCATGCTACTTCTATATTCTATTGATCAGAGTCTATTGAGTTAACCTTTAAAGGGTTAATTTTTTAAATATTCTTGGGAGCACTAGGGGGCAATCAGTCATTCACATGTTAGTATAAGTTAATCTGAACTGGTTGAATTCTTTTGATCATCTAGAAAACACCTACCATACTGGGTAATGTGGAAAAGCACTGGGGAAAACCATCATGAGCTTCTCTGAGAATGACACTTATTAGTTTGGGTAGGTGAAGCCGAGTGGGGCAGGGGTGTGGCAAAGGCAGGGAACAGGATGAAGGTACTTGGGGATAGTGGAGTACCAGAGAATAGGGATGGAGAGTGATGCTGAAGAGCAACAGAACCTAACACAGCTTCCTTAACAATTTCACCCCATGACTAACCATAGGCACTAACAATTCCAATCTTTACTGCCAAATCTTTTGACCCAAAGCTGTATACTCACAGGGAAAGGGGTTCTGTTTCACCTCTTTCTTAGATATTAGAGGAAATGGGTAACCCAAGGGTAAGAAGAGAGCCAGAGCAGAGACTCAATTTTCCAGGAAAACCCATGAAACTGATTGGCCATCCCTGGGTAGACAGGTCTGACAGGCATGGACTCATAAGTAAGAGCTTAAACTTGATCAACATGTAAATTTCATAGGTTTTGATTGCAGGCAGAGCTGGGCATGTAGCCTGGAACTTACAGGGCTCCTGGCAGCTCCCAAAAGGATAGACAACAATCTGCTTTGATGAAGAGAGGGAATCTAGTAAACTAAAGCTTCAGTTTTTTAACCCGTTAATCCAAGTTTTGGGGGCTGGGGTGGTAGCTCAGTGGTAGAGCACTTGCCTAGCGTTTGTGAGGCACTGGGGTTTATTCTTAGCACCACATATAAAGAGATGAATAAAATAAACATCTGGCAACAGCTAAAAAAATATTTTTTAAAAAGTCCCAAGTTTTCAATTCTGTAAGCATAATAAATAGTCAAATATTATTTCAAAGTTACCATAAGTCTAGAAGCAACCCATGTTCTTATATGTGTTCCACATCTGGGATGACAGGAAAAAATGGGTTAAATTGTTACTGCCTACTTTTTCTTTTGGCAGTTTTTCCATTTGGTTTTGTTTGTTTCTTGCTTGCTTTTGGGGACCCAATTGCTTGGTGACTAACATTTATTCACTTTTTCTATCTCTCATTATGATGTTCTGTATCAATCCTCCTGGTCCAAGATAAAGACATCCTCACAGGTCTTACACTTTCCTGAACATCAGCCTATGTTTCCTCTTGTGTCTCTTCCAATTCACTTCCCACTTGTAACAATAAAGAGGTGGTCGTCATTTCCAATGAGTCATATATTTGAGCTCCATGCCACTCTTAGGAGACAAAACATTTCCATTGTTAAAAAGATTCATAAACAAAGGAAGGAAAAACATTTAAAAATTTCAGATTTTCCTTTGCAAACCTATAAAGAGCAAAAGTTAAAGCATTATTCATTTACTGAAGTCAGTCTAAATCAATAAATAAAATTATTGTAATCCATCTATAAAATTTACTCAACGTCACTCCCTGGTGATTTTTTTTTAAGACAAAGCCCATCAATTATGAGCAGGAGTTTGGTGAGCAGAAGCTTAGAATGGAAGCCAAGCAGAGCCAGGGGAACTGGAAACTTAAGAAACTGACCTCCTTCCATGGCGTCTTTTTCCCTACCTCACCTCCCTGGCACTTTTTTTCAGTTATTGCCACCACCTTCTGAACTCCATTCTCACAAGGCCAAGTGTGGTCCCAGCACTGCTATGTGAATATCCCACTGTCATTGCCTCAATATACCAAAGAACTCAGCCCTCATTACTCCACATCATTGCCATACTCGATCCCTTCTTGAATTTAATAGCATTGCTGGTAACAGCAGCCAAATAATTCCAATTGAGAACTTCAGTGCATTAGACTCTTCTTGCTGCTATAATGAAGTACCATAAATTTAGCAGCTTAAAACACAAATTTGTTATCACAGAGTTCTACAGGTAATAAGTCTAGTACACATCTTTCCAGCTTGAAGTCAAGGTCAAGGTGATGATAGGTGAAATTCCTTTCTGGAGACTTTAGGAAATAATATATTTCCTGCTTATTAGGGTTATTGGCAGAATTCAGTTCCTTGAAGTTACAGGACTGAGGTTCTCATTTTCTTGCTGTGACAAATTGAGGGCCATGCTAAGTCTAGAAGCAATCCATGTTTCTTCCTCATTCTTCCATCTTCAAAGCCAGTGACAATGGGAAAGGGTTGGGGAGTCCTTCTCATGTGCCATCACTCCAATTCACTTCCTCATTACACTTTTAAAAAACTCACATGATGACTGGGTCTACCCAGGTAATCCATGATAATCTCCCTATCTCCTATCTCCCTATGGTCCTTAACTTTAATTATACCCACAAAGTCCCTTTTCCATGTAAGTTTTCACCCTGTCTTATAAAATTGGAAGTTTTAGAAGATGACCCCTTTATGTCAATTCTCTGGTCCTCTAAGGCATGCTCCGACTACAGAAGAAGATGGAGATGGCTCTCTCCTCTTTATATCGTAAAGTATTAATTGACTACATGAGTCACTTGGCATTGATATATATTATTTAACATTCACACTGTGTCTTAGTCCATTTTCTGCCACTATGACAGAATACCACTGGCTGGGTCAATTATAAACAATAAAAATTTACTTGGCTCATAGTTCTGGAGGCTGGGAAGTCCAAGATTGAGGGGTTGCATCTGGTGAGAACCTTCTGACTGTGTCATAACCTGGCAGAAGGGTAAGTGAGCTCATGAGATAGAGAGATATTAACCCATTCCCATGAGAATGGCAGCATTTATCTACTCATGATTGCAAAGCCCTCATGACCTAGTCACCTCTCAAAGATCCCACTTTTTCAATACCATCATGATAGCTTCTAATTTCAACATGAGATTTTCACAGGAATTCAAACAATAGCACACTGGATAAATTATTTTTCCAACTACATACTAAGAAACTTGATGCTTTATTTATTTTCCTTCAAGAATCCAGTCCAGTGTCTTGTTCAAAAGTATTTTTAGATGAACTGATGAAATCATTAAGAAATCTCTATCATGGTAGAGCACTTGCCTAGCATGAAACCCTGGGTTTGATCCCTAGCATTGTGAAAAAAGAAGAGGAAGAAGAAGAAGAAATCTCCATCATCGGGGATCAAGCCAGGAACCTATGATAGGCAGTTCAAGAGCAGGAATTTAACTCAGAGAAATAGTGCAAAGGTGAAGTGCTGGAGCAATCCACAGAGGTCAGCTGTTGAGAGCCACAGCCGAAGGGGCCCCAGCAAACTTCCAGCTGATTGGCTCACAGCGGCCCCAGCAAACTTCCAGCTGATTGGCTCACAGCGGCCCCAGCAAACTTCCAGCTGATTGGCTCACCGTGGCCCCAGCAAACTTCCAGCTGCCAGGTGATTGGCTCCTCTGCAGTGATGCTCATTGGGGGACTCTTTTGG